TCCAGATTTTCTACAGAATCCCTTTCTTAATGTTTGTATTTCTTGAAGCCTAGAGTTTTCCGACATGTTAAAGTTGTTACTTCCGTAATTCCTTTCCATTTGTTCTCCATAAAGGTTTCTTCTCTTAGTGGATCTTGTAAGACATTGAACTTGTTGTTGATAGCTATCTTGAACATGCCGAGTTTGTTTCTATCTCTAAGGAAGCCCATGTTAAAAATTCGTATTGTTGCATCCTCAACTGTCTAATGCTTTAGCTTGAGTTTTGACCTATCCATCACCAGGTGTTGATGTGAGTGTATATCAGTTCATTTCTTTGTTCTTACATTTTCCATGGACCTCCCGAGTTTTTTAATTTTGAACGTGTGATCTATCTGGTTTCTTGTTTTTTTCCTCCGGTTAAACAAATGTGGCTTTCTGTATACATTTGTGGAGGAAAATACTGGCTCCTATGACCATATTGTTTGAAGTACACAGATCTAACAGCCTCTTACCACTGCCTTTTCTCTTCTCCCAGTCTTTGTCACCCCATGACGGCTTCATACTCAATTTCGTCTATCACAACATTAGTGTTTAGGTCCCCGTTTAAGATGATTAAGTCTTTTCCTGGGCTTTTTCTCAGGATAAACTTCAGTCACATAAAACCGGTTTTTAAAATATTTTGTGATATATTTAGTGAGTATGTAACACTAGATAACATTAACTGTAATCCCTTCCTTGCCTTAATAATCCTTGAGTCATAATTTCTCATCCTATTTTCGCTTTTTGTGCTTCTTTGGATATCATCAGTGCAACTCCATGTGTGCGGCTCATTTTATGCCTTCTTGATCAGCAAAAGACTTCTCTACTGAAGGTAGTTTTTTTGTCCAATAAGTTTCACTTATTAAAAGCACGGTCAAACTGTCTATTTCTATTTCCGTGGCTACTTCAATAGCTCTCCTTGTCTCCCACATTGTGCAGACATTCCACGTACATATATTTGTCGTTTCACTGGTTGTCAAGAAAGAATTGGCCTCAATGTTTTCAAAAAAATTTTGGATTTTACCATGAGGCATCATAAACATTGTATATGAAAATTTCTCGTTAACGATTTTTTAGTGAGGTTCTTTTTATGAAGTGGTGTTACTAATGCTACGCAAGGTCCTCCTTCACATGAGCTTGCACCCGACAGTAATCCAAGAAGGGTTCTAGGCGAAATCGATAGTACAGATAGCATGGCTAAAATTTTCCAATCCATTTTTCTTCGGTAGTTTTCTAGGCGATTACCATTAGCTATGTCACTTATATCAAAGCGGAATTTTTAGGGGTAACTTTGCAGTTTATTTATTTAAACAAACATTGGCAAAAGGAGGCACCAAGTAGATATGCACCCCACAATTCAATTTGTATGAGGGCTGGAATTATGCCCGGACACCGAAACCGAAGCAGGTAGTTCTCTTAGGGGCAACTCCCTGAGCCTTTGACCTAGAGGTCTAATCCAGGGGGCAGTGGAGTAGCGTTGGGAGATGCAGTCCTGTGGTAGCCGGTGACCAACGATAGGTTCATGCTTTATTTGTTCCTTCAGGACCCTGGAGTCCATGTGCGCCACTGGTTTGAAATGAAGGTCATCCAACTCCACTAGGTAGGTCCTCCATATCCACCAACTCCGGTAAAGCCATGAACATTCGCTTTTCGTCCTCTCAATTTCGTAAACAACCGTGTCGCGGGAAGATCGTAAGCTAAACTTTCTCGGCAGTGGTTGTATGCGCGTGGCCATGTGAGAGCATTTCGAGAGAAAGATCTGACTCTCCCCACTCTGCCGTACCAATCAAAATCAAAGTGATCATATCTTGTAACACCGTCTTTTGATTGAAGGGGCTGGTCCATTGGGTATTTTGTGGTGCGTTATAAACTTGTCACATTATCCCATCCTCAAAATAAAAGCAACAGATTGTGGCCTTTCACAGTACTGGTTTGTCCATATCATTCATAGAAAACATTTTCCAAAAAATTACGAAACGAAAGGAGTAATTTTGATGGTGAAGCGAACTGAACAAAACACGCTTGATTAAAATGTGCTAAACGACAAGAGTATACTTCATTTTTAAGTCTGCTAGGGGTTTAAAATCAGTGATAGATCACTTAGTAAGATGACTGCAAATCTCGTGTATATATATATAACCCAATTTTAACCTTTCTTTGATATCTGGATATTTTTATTTATAATGTATTTGTTATCTTGTTGATTCAGTGTCTTCTTATTGACGAACGCTGGTAGTGTGGAACCTGGTACAAATGCGTATTTGTTAAAGTTGTCCTACTTCATATAACAGCGGTAAAAGAAAAGTGAAAGGATATAAAAGTGTAAAAACAATTGTTTCAAAGTCTTTGGATTACTTTTACCTATTGAACAAGTACGTGTACATTTTTATGTTCTGTGTGGAATTCAATAGCTAGACCCTTTGGATATGTTCTCTGCAGGAATAAAAAGGCTACAAAACTTTATAAACTTATGTAAGAATAAATGACATTTTTACCTGTTTACATTTTTCTCTCGTTCTTTCATCAAACCTTGTGTTTATACTTTTGTTTTGTCAGGTATGTATCATGACTCACCATACAAATAATCGGGAAAATAAATAAACATAATTAAGTTTAAGAATCCTGTTGAGCGCTATCTAATAATTTTAGGACATCAACAACCGATTTATAAACGTCAGGTTCAAATATAGGTAGTGAGCTAATTAACAGATATTCAGTAGTATATTGAATGGAAGCTTCTAAAGTTTGGCGAGAGATTTACATTTTTTTTAGTCCAAGCATGTTGGTTTTCTGGTCCTCATCAAAGTGTAAATTTTTTAAGGGCATTAAGTTCGAATAACCTATCTAGTTTCGATGATTGGTTTCCGAAAATAATCAATGAATTACATAAAACCATTTGGACGGAACGAAAACGCCATTATGGCGAGGTTACTGACTGGAATGAATTGTAGCACTGAAGTAAGGAATGATGGACCATGTTTAAATGAAGTGGCACATAGACATAAAGTGATGGAGTATGTTCTTATACGGCAAAACGGTTTGAGTTTATGGGCATTTATTCATGGGAAATGGGATATTTGGATTGCCATAACTTTTATGGAGGATTTGATACTATCCAGAAACCCAAGTTTAAATAGGAAGCCTTTGTGAAGAAACCACTGCTCAGCTTTTAAAATAAAAATTCAATTTACAAGGTAGTACCAGGAGAAGCAATATTATAGTGGTCTGGAATTGTCGTAGGCTGAAAAAAGCCCACTTTGTTAAGCTGCTGAATCTTATATATTGTTATTTTAGAGACAGTGTTTTTTCCACTCTAGATATGTCCTTCGTATCTCTTATGCCTTCACTTGGGAACACCTCACCGCAGTAGGGAAAATAAGAACTTTCTTAGTATAAGGTATAAATACGCGGTTATAATATAACATCGTTTCGAAAAGAAAGATCAGAATCCCTCTCAATTCCTCAGTTGAACACTCATTAAATTTGAAGCTTAGTTTCACTCCACACTGCTCATCCCCCTTTATTATTTATTATTTTGGAAATATATATGTAATTTTATCAAAAATTAGATGTTACTATGTCTACTCAGGTGCATTTCGTTTCGTTGGTCTTCTCTGTCCTTGTGCTTATACAAAACGTTAATTTGGATTGACAGGGCAGAAAGTCGGAGTAACGATTCTTTACGGAAAACGGGCATTAATAAGCGCTTTATTTTGCACTAAAGTTATCGTTGTCAGTAGTAAAATAAAAACATAAATAAATTGTTCAACTGGTATCACGTGTGATCTTTTTTCCCTTTTGACCTTAATTGTTTTTTTACGTTCCCAAGATATCACCATCCAGACTTTTGGTGGTGCAAATATTTTTCTTTTTGATTGAAGGTCTTTCAGTCTTTCTCGTTTTTATTTTTCTTATTCGATGGTTTCCATGGAGTCACTTTACTATGCGACTCAATTCACCTCATTTTATTCTGTGATGAACTATAAATCCTCTGTTCAGAGAGTTGAAGCACTAAAGGACTTCCATCCACGTCTACGGTAGTTGAGTACTTAGAAACAGTAGCAAAAAGAGCAGTCCGGGGCCTTCTGTCACTTAAAGCTATTGTATCTAAATAGCTTCATATTAACTAATTGGTGTAGAATATAACTTCTGGCTATCTGAGAGTATGGTGATAAGGAAAAGCTGTTTAAACAGATTGACTTAAAGAGAGCAAGAACAAAGATTGGTGCAGAATAATATGAATTCATTTTATTCTGCACCAATCTTTGTTCTTGCTCTCTTTAAGATAATAAAGGGAACTATGCATGTGAGATTGACTTAAGTTTGTACAACGACTGCAAACACTAATAGCAAACGAATAGGAATGTTTAGTGTGGAAAATCATGACTTATTTAAGAGTCAGTGATCAATGAGGCATTTATCAAAGAAGACTAGTGTTTATATAATCTTTCAAGGAGTGTCATTTCAAATTGACAAACTTTCTGTTAAAAAGTACTGTGTTTATACATATATTTCATAAAGTTGTTTCGTCACTAACTTGTACAAGTAAAAATATACTGGTAAAAACCATTATTGTTGTAATACTGTCGCCTCCAGCACCAGTTGCTAAGTTGATCGTTTAAGTATGCTTATGTTTATTTGGATAAGTTTAAAAACTATATATAACTAAATCTTTTGGAGAGTTGCTGCCAGTGTTGTTGGATCAATACATTAGATTTTCGTAAGTATAATATAGGTGAGTTGACCTTCGGTTATTTATGTGACTAATATTCAAGACTAATGCCTCTACTTCTTATGATTTAATTCATTTTATCCTTTGCTATCACCAATAATCTTGCTACTGTTTTAAAAGGCGCCGATGTGATCACATGAAGTAGGTGAACAATATTAAATCTCTGTTTTAGGTAATCGTCCAAAGGTGTATTCAAAGGGCTCTTTATTGTAATGAATGTTACCCATACATTAATCCCATTGTATACAAAATGACTACTGAATCTTCAGAACAAAATATTACCAATTTTATTCAACCAGTTTCAATCCCTGAACATATGACAATGGATATAACAAATGCTTTCTTTTCTGCTTGTCGAATCGGACTAAAGCCTGGGGAACTATTACACCCTCGTTGGTTTGACTTGAAGTATTCCATGTCAGCTATCGAGATTATGGACCCTAAAATGGATGCTCTAGTTCAAGGAAACCGAAAAGTTCTGACTGTATGTGAGGCGTTATCTAGTGAGCAGTTACCATTGGGGCCTTTTTCGTCACTTTACGAGCTTTTGGGTATCATAGATGAACTTTTAGCTGCTTGCGTCAATTGGCTGACGGGTGATTCTCTTGCGCAAAGTATATTTATTTGCATGTATATGCACTGCACTCAGTTAATTAGAGATAAATATCTTGCTGCATTTTGTGAGTTATTACGACGATCAATCTATCAGTTGCGTCATATAATAATCTGTGCCAATGTCTTTGACGAAGAGGATCATTACAAATTCACACATGGTATGCCAGTTCATGAACCCTCAAATATTTTTGATGGTTACGGTGGCTTTCGTAATGACTGTCTGCATAAATTGTCAGTGTTAGAATTAATAGCTCATGTAAATGATTTGAATGGAAATCTTGAAAATGAATCTACCATGTTTGCGGATCGTGAGGAAAAACTGCTTATGGGATTACACAGTCGTCTACAGTTTGTTCAAGTGTTGTTACTGTTCACAAATTCAATCTTTGAGTGTATAAATCCAACTCGAGTCTATTTTGAGCAAGATCTATTTGAAGGATATACGCATGCAGATCTCGATTTTTCTGAACAAAATCCATCACCTCCTAAACTGTATGAAGCTAAAAATAACACCGAATTTCTATGGGACTCCTTCATAGATATTTGTAGGAAAGTGTCCCAGCATTTAAGTAGTCTGAAATCACTGAGTGATACATTAGTAGAAACTTCAAACATTGGAAAAATGGCTGGTGAAGGAAAGTTTAGACCAAAGGACGCTGCATATGGTCTTCCAGGTTTTGAAGTTTTCTTGAATCAAACCAATGTACCTACATATATGCCCAAAGTGGTAAATATTCACGATCGTCACAAATCATTTGTTTATTTTTCAAGTCTCTTTACAAGACTCAATCATATTTTATGTACATACGAAAATTTTGCCTTATGGAATGTTTTACATCCTGAACCCCTACGCCTTCATAGTTTATGGACATTTATTCAGAAATCTGGTCAGATATCTTGTCCTTATGTCAAAGCTCTTTTGTTTCCTGACGACTCTAGCGAAGTAAATGAACCCATGTTAACTACTTGTGTTTTATCAAAGACAATTATACACATGTTTCACTCCACTCTTATGGGGCAAGGAGATGCTATTGAGCTTCAACCTCCGTTTCTCTCTCCGGTGCATTTCCTAAATTCATGGCAGGAGTTAGAGCCTACTGCGTATCGCCCACTGATTAAAAATATCATTTATAATATTCCTGAACTGATGAGTTTTTTCACTACACTTTCAAATCATTTCGCCCATGTAAGTGCACATTTTAGTTTATATATATATTTCTTAACCTTCTATATATAAGACTGATTCTTAACCTGTTCCACTTATTGATTTTCGTAATATTCTGTACATGTTCCACACGAATTTAGCTTTTTTTCAAAACTTGGTTGTCTTTCAATAAAATTGCATGAACATAGTTGGATAGTAGCTGGAAGAAAGCTAGTGGCGGCCAAACCAAAACATGGCATATATATATATATATATATATATATATGCTAGAACAGGTCAGAGGTTACGTAATAATAATTAAATAGAATTTGAAAAGTCAAGATAATTTAAGAGGATCAGGTGGTGGAAATGTGTGAACAATAATGTGGGTTAAGAGGGGAGGAGTATAAATATTTTAAAATAAATAAATGAATAAAATAACATAAATAACCAAAACACAAAAAAAGGATTACCAGGGTAGTGATAAGTTTATTAAAGTCTCTTTTTGAATGCATAAGTCCGGTTTAAGTTTTTTGATCGCAATGGTTTCAGCGAAACGGAGGGTGGTCGTACTTCTTTGTCTGTTGATAATTTTGAAAGCGTGCGGAGTGTCGACGGTGTGCTCGGTGTCAAGTAAATGCCGAGCTATTGCGCTGTTGAAAGCGTTAGTCCTTCGCAGCCTCAAGTTTTTCATGAACATGTTCAGAAATGTGGATATGCACTCTTCTCTCAGTTCTCCCAATGTATGTGCTTTGGCACGTACATGTTAAAATTCTATCACATTTTTGGTTTGTAAGCAGCTGACGAGAAACCTCGAAATAATGTGAATTCATACTATTCTGCACCAATATTTGTTCTTGCTTTATTTAGGACGTTTTTGTTTTGAGCATTTTCTAGTCAAAGTTTTTAATCGTTGAATGTATATCTATTGTTTTAATCATATCTTATAGATCTCTTATATTTACTGTCGTAACCGTTCACGCCAGCGTTCCGCTCTTGGTTCATGGTTGGAAGATCTTCCAAATTTGCTTGATGAGTGTGCAAACGCCGAGTTTGTCATTGGTGTTGAACTTAGAAATAAACTGGCAAATAAAACAACTGAGTGTTTTGAATCTGTAGGAAAATTTGAAGTTTTATCGACGCAAACGGCTGTTGTACCTGTTCAAATCAATCTGTCTTGTTTTGTAACTTATGTGTATTATTACTTAGCATGGGATTATATTGTCTCTGGGTTTCAACTAGACTTGTATTCTCCAAGTGAATGGTTGTCTATTTACGCTTTTATGATACACTTATTCCAGAATTTAGCTTCTTTGCTCAGGAGTTTATCGGAAAACTGCATCGTTTCAGGATCTGAAGGACAACCTACTTTAGAAAATGAATCCGCTGATAGTAAAGGTCTAAATAAACAAGTTGATAAGTGTAATTCTGTGAATGATGTTGAGAGGCTTGTCAATCGTCAAAGTAAAAAGAAGAAGAAACATCGAGAAAAATGCAATGTATCTGGTGTACATAGTAAGGGCATAGAAATGTCGAATACCACGAATTTTAACAGCGCTGTTAAACCAATTTCACCTATGATACATGAAATAGGTTCGACTTTTGAGGTAAGACATTTTATCGTTAATCTACTTTAGTCACCTGTTTAGTTCTCAGGAGACTTTAGTGTTCAAACTGCTTTTGATTTGAACGTTTCACGTGTAAATTGTTTGATTCATTAATAGTAGTATTACAATTTATTATTTATTTATTTATTTGAACACATAAATATTGGTACAAGAGAGCGCCAATATATATGCGCCACACAAAACAATGGGAATTCGAAGAGAAGTAGAAAGAAAAAAAGAAAAAAAAACTAAGGAACGCAAAAGAAAAAGAGAGTAATGACGAAGAGGTACAATCAGAAGAAATCTTTCAGTTAAGTAAGATACAACCACTTTTTATGAAGAAAGTAAAAGAAGGTTACAGCAGGATCGCCACTGGCTTCTATTCTGAGCCATATCTGATAACGTCTCTAGCCACTGTGTAGCACCATCTCTCGGACACCAGCCAGGGAGTCGTGAAGGACCAACACAAGCCAGTCCTTTGCAGCTTTCTTTCATGCCACGACACCATGTCATGCACTGACCACCTCTCCGCTTCTTCCAACCAGTCCCAGAGTCGGCAAATAATGCACGACGTGGAATTCTCTGGGACGACATTCGGAGAACATGTCCAAGCCACCGAAGTCGGTGTTTCAAGATGGTGACACCAATTGAGTTATCATCTCTGTGCCCGAACACACGATGCCGAACCTCTGCATTACTGACATGGTGTTGCCACTGAATGTCAGCAATCCTTCGGAGACAGCGATGATCGAACACAGAGAGTCGTCTAACGTCCTCAACTCGGAGAGGCCAGGTTTCACAAGCATAGAGCAAAACTGCTCTCACCGACGCGTTGTAGATCCGGCCTTTTACAGCCAGACTAACATCACGAAGGCGCCAAAGGTGGCCCAGATTGGCATAAGCCGCTCTGGCTTTCACTATTCGTGCATTGATCTCATCACTCACACCCCCACCAGCACTTATGTAGCTGCCCAGATACACGAACTTCTCAACTACGTCTATCTGCTCACCATCCAGAGTGAGTACAGGACTAGAATCCTGCCAGTCTTGTAGAAGTACTTTGCACTTCGAAGGTGCAAAGCACATACCATACCTACGGACATTGATTGCCAACTGATTAAGTGCGGATTGCATGCCTTGGGCATTATCGCACAGTAAGACAATATCGTCCGCATACTCAAGGTCGAGAAGTCTTTCTCCAGGCAACAGATCCACACCACCATTACTTACATTCATCAGAGCTGTTTCCAGAATGTCATCGATGGCAAAGTTGAAGAGGAATGGTGAGATTGGGCAACCCTGCCTAACCCCACTGCTCGAATGGAACAATGGAGAGAGGTGGTTGTATGCCCTCACTCTGCCTGAGGTGTTTTTATACAGGGCTTTTAGGATGTTAATAAACTTCTCAGGCACACCCTTCTTCAATAGACAATCCCAGAGAACAGTCCTATCCAACGAATCGAAGGCAGCCCTGATGTCAAGAAACACTACGATTGTTGGCCTTTGAAAAGTATGGCGGTGTTCTAACATTTGGCGAAGGGTGAAGATATGATCAATACATCCTCGACCAGAACGAAACCCAGCCTGCTCCTCGCGAGTCAATCTTTCTCGGGTTTTGAACAACCTACGAAGAATGACGGAAGCCAATAGCTTGGACGCAATCGGAAGTAAACTTATCCCCCGATAGTTGTTACAAGAACGACGTGAACCCTTTTTAAAGATAGGGACAACTATCGACTCATTCCATGACGTTGGTACACTCTCTAGATCCCAAACCTTTGTAAACAACGTCGTCAATTCCTTAGTCAAAAAGTCACCACCATCTTTAAAAAGAGCCGGAGGTAAGTCATCTGGGCCAGGTGATTTGTAACGCTTCAAGAGTTGGAGTTCCTTGCGGACTTCCTCCTCATTTGGTGGATCAGTCGTCACCGGCCATGGAGGGCAGGACAGTCTGACCGATGTTACCGGAGCAGCAGGCCAGTTGAACTGCCCTTCGAAAAATTCTGCCCATCGTCCAAGACGTCGATGGATGTTAGTGATTGGCATCCCATCATCCTCGCAGATTGTTTCACTCACACCAGACTTCTTGCTGCCAGTGGCTCGGATGAGTTGGAAGAGCTTCCGGTAGTTACCAGATGCAGCTGCTGCTTCCAGCTCATTAGCACGCGTCGACCACCAGGCTTCTCGGTCCTTACGCAAGCTTTGCCCGATTTCCTTACGTAAAAACCTTCGTTTATGGTCAAACTCACGGTTACCCGGAGTAGACCGACGGGCTTCAATGAGTTGTAAGGAACCAGAAGAAACCCAGTGCTTAAAAGCGGGACGTTTCGCAAACCCACAACTGACTGTTCCCGCCATTTTCATGGCGTCATGCAATTGCAACCAATGCTCATCTATACTTTTCGGTGGAGTGGTAGCTAGCCTAGAGGCTAGCTCGGTTCGATAGATATTGTAGTACTAGCCGGAGACTTGAATGCTCAGGTCGGGCGTCTAGGCACAGAAGAGAGTCGTTTAGGTGGCCGATGGGGACTCGTTGGTCGCAGGTCAGATAACGGGGACCGTCTACTGCAACTTTGCACAGACCACAACCTGTTTCTGGCTAGCACTAACTTTCGGCACAGTCATCGCCGATGTGCCACCTGGCGTCCTCCCTCTGCATCTCAAGCCTGGACTCAGATTGATCACATCGCGATCAGCTACCGCTGGCGTGGTTGTGTAAAAGACTGCCGCTCCTTTTGGAGTACCTATCTGGACTCTGACCATGCCTTGGTCTGCGCCAATCTTGCCTTACTTTTCAGTGGACAACGAAGTGAACGCCATCAACGGATTGATGTTAGCAAGCTGGTTGCAACTTCTGTTGCAAGTAAGTATCGAACCGAGTATTACAATACTTTTGAGATATACGATTCTAACTGACTATAACAACTTTAGTAAAGCGGTCCATACTTTCATACAGTAATTGAAGGAATGTTATTATCTGCATGTCATTCTTAATTGTGAAGTATCAAAGTAATGTGTGCTTAATATTTGCTGAATACCTTTGGGGTTAAATCATTGAATTAGTCATAAATTCGGTAAATATTCCTTAATGGTTGACCAAATTTTCTTTACACACTTAAATTAATTTAATTTTTGAGTATAGTTATACTTTCGCATTCATCTGACGTGGATTTTTAAACTAATATTTTTTTAATGATTTGTTTTTGAGTTAAATTTATTCGGTATGTTACTAATATTCAAAAAAGTAACTTTTGTAATATTTGTGACGTCGGTTGTTGAGTTTAGTATCTGTTAGCTAATACACTTAGTTTTTTCCCTAAAAGTTAAAATGAATACTATTAATATAAGTGACCTCGATGACCACTATGAGTGTAGTAGTCAACAAGTGGATCCCTAATTATCATTTGAAAAATATATCAAAAATTATGTACCCATCCCGAAAACCTAACATAAATTAACCTTGCATCAAGAATGTCTCATAGATCACAAATGGACCAGTGAACAGTTCATGATGAGCTATTTTCTGCGGCAAATTAGTGATAGCTAAAGCACCGAATTTTGAACCATTAGGTTGTAGATCAGAACACCAGTCCATCAATTTTAATTAAGGCAGCCAATTTGTATCACTCATCTTCATTCAAGAAAGCGTGTATAATGACTTTTTAGTTCAAAAAGATCCCTTCAAAATCTTTTGATATTTTTGCCATTTATCTATCATCTGAAACCATCTTTGTTTTTCTTTTGTCATATTTGAAATACACGAAAGTCGTTAAACAAAATTGTTTTTAGATAAAATCGTCATCAATTTGTACCTTTGTATGCGTATTACAAGGCTTAATTCTGTGGGGAAATGTGTACAGTGAATAATTATGATTGCATAATAATAAGTATTATATTAGACCAGATAGCGTAAACATTGCGTAATTGGCATTACGTGAATAAGCACTTTTTAACGTATGCTTCCTTTTTCTTTTTCCGGTTTGTCTAATAGACTTTTTGGTAATTATGATACCTATTGCAACTCCAGTGGTTATTTTGTAAATTTTCGGAATCAGTCTGTTACATTTGATGGGATGGTTGTGTAAACCGTAAGATCTTGATAAGTGGTTACAACATATCCATTTTGTTTTCTGCGAGAAATCTGGTTGAAAAGTAGGCTTTTAATCAAGTTCTAGTAAATCAGTCCCTTTGTATACTTACAGCAAACGAATTTGAATATTCAGAATTTGAAATTATTTTCATATACAAACACAATTCTTTCATTTGCCGACTTTTGTATAAAAGCAAATAGATTCACGGTTTAATTGCTGTTATGACAACTAAAACTTCCGTATAGCTTTGAATGTCCTGTCTCATTAGAAAGTGTTTTATTTCTTTGTTCTTAGTAAGGTAGAGTGATCCTTTAAATGGTAGTATTTTGTTTAATAAAGGCTTCTTTACTTATGTAAATCTAATGGTCTCTATTTTTATCCTAAATATTTTTCCAGGTTCACTTGCTCAATGTACATCAATACTTGAATACTGCAACCCTGTATGTTATACGTGCGCTTCAGAGAGATAGTGGGATCGAAATAAATGTGAATTGTCTAAGTCCGGATCCTAATTCTGACGGGCAACTACGTTTATTTATTAGTCGAAATTATCTGGAACCTTATGCCAGAAGGCTTGGAATATTTCTCATTCCTCATAATTCTCCTCTAGCTGAAATGGGAGGTGTTTCAGGGGCTTACGAAACATGGAGATCATTAGTAAGTAGTAGCATTATTGATGGTCGTTCAACAAGTGATCTTTATCTGATGGCAGCAAGAGCGTTTGATGAAGCTCAGAATTTAATTCAGAAAACTCTGTATTTGAAGTCAGTAGGTGAAGAAAAGTTTCTTAAGTTTACACAGTCTCCTATTGTTCTACCCCTGTTCACTGAAAAGTTAGGGCCTCCTGACCAACTCATCGATCTTCAACAATTAGCGAGACGTAATTCCATTGCTTGCCGTGTACTTGGTGTATGTGAAGATCGACGGCCAATTGTACATACAGCCAATCCGTCCACAATAAATCCTAAAATGTCTTTTTTATGTTCATCTAGTCCAGTTAAATTGGACTACAATTTTTTAGAAAGCAAGTGTTATCCGCTTATTCGTCTAGCTAGTCAATCTAAAAAATGTTAATAATAGTTATGTTCACCTGTGAATATCTGTTTGGATGTTATGAATTTGTTTAAAGACTGGATGTTAAAATGATGTTTCTAATTAATTCTTTCTTTTAATGTAACATTTTTTAGCAGATGCATGTATTTTGTATACGGACTTTTTTGGGAACTTAGATCTTTTTCGTTCTTGTATAAATTAATCAAATATCCTCCTATCCTCCTGTATATCAGTGTCCTCGTACTTGTTGTAATATATGAATTCTAAGCAAATAATTATGTACATAAGTCGAAAAATAATGAACATATTTATTGGAGATATCATATTTATCTTTAAATTCATGATAGTTTAATGTATTAAATATTTTGTTTTAGATAAATAAACTGCCTACAATTTTAAATCACGTAAAGACGTCAAATAATAGACGAATTTCAATCAAGACACTAGTTCTAAGTATAAGCTAAGAATTATAACCGTCTTGTGGATTTTAGTTATCAAGATGAAATATTAGCACATCTCGTTTTAAGTAAAAACAGTTGTTCATTTAAGTTGGTATGTAACTAGTGAATTAAGTATTAAAAGAATAGAATTTCTTGCCACTAGTCATTTTTAAAAAATTAATAATGGTAATATATGCTCTTTGGTGGTCTATGTTTATTGAACGTTAGTATTAAAATAACTTTCCAACATGAACAATCACTTATCTTCGTTGCTCTTAGTTAATATATCAGAAATAGGATATGTGAAATCAAACAATCTACATAAAAATTTACAAAAGATTTTTTTACATTACATACCATAAAGATTGAAAGGAAAGGAAATTAGAACAGTAGAAAAAAGTGAATGAAACTAACGTATTGTTCACCATTTTCAAGCTTATTATCCAGCTTAAGGCATAATTAATGTTGTTCTTGAGCCGATTGGAGCACGACTTAAAGCATTTTTCGATGTTTGTCCACTGACAAGTTTTTCGCTATAATAAATGAAGAAAATAGATTTGTGTTACTGAATCATTAAGTTTTATTAATTGATTACTTTGAAGTCACAATTCAAAACTGAGCTACAATGTTATTGTCCTTCAAAATGTATATTGCGTAGGTTCTATAGTTTTGCTTCAAAATCAGTCATTAAAAACTGATTTGATTGGCGCTTAGCATCCAAGTTGTTTGGTATTGGATTCTTAGAGGACATTCTCATGTTGCTAGTATATAATCATGAATGCCTTCGAGGTATCACTCAAGTATGCTTGCATTAATACTGAGTTCATGCATAGGATACGAGGCCAATCGGTTGATGAAGTTAAATATCTTCATTGACTTAGGTGGTTGGAACTTGTATGATGCTTGCTAGTGCAAGAGTAGGTTGGAGAAAACTTAGGGGCGGCCATGTAAGTACATGGATAATACTTGATCGGGGTCTGCGCGAATATCGCGATCAATAGTTTAAAGTCACGGGTGATTTGTAATGGCACATATGCACTTATTCTTTGTCTTCTTTAAGATCCAGAGTTTCTAAACTATTTTACACCGTTTATTCCAGAAACACATTTTTTCGCATCATGTCTTCTATGTTGAATGCTTCTTATCATCACTGACAATATTACTACTACTCTGCCATTTTGTGTGGCTTGGCAACTTAAACTAATATCGACCGTTGCTGCTACCTTGACGTGGTGGTTGGGCTTTCCCATCGTAACCAACCGATCGAGCTATGCTGGATGGAACAATCGTTGCTTGAGGCCCTACTATGCCAGACAGGTCGGTTGAAAAGCGGTAAGACTAAAAGGGGCAGTTCCAAGGTCTGAGGGCGAAGTCGTACTGCTAACTGTACAGAGGTATAATGGCAGTAAGATGTTTCCTTCAGGCAACCAGCATAACAGCGATGCTGCCTCCCCACAAGGAAGGGTGGTGTTAGAAAAGGTCGACTCTAAAAATACACACCTCGCCTTATCCCACGGAGTTCCGTCTCCGGCACTAAGGTCCCAACAAGTGCGGAGCTAACACGAAAATTACCCACAAATAGGTCGTATGTGACCGGCCTCAAGCAGGTGTCACTTGGGAACTCAGGTCACTAAGAACTCCTCTAACCCGATTTCCTTTTCAGGTACCTCTAGAACAACAACATCCTCATAACTCTAACAGGAATCAAGATTACTGTATTCATAATCAATCTCCCTTTTCAATTCCTATTATTCCCCCTACATCAACTTTCAACTCCCTCCTTAAATGTCACCATGGCCAACGATTATAGTGCACGAACCACTGTCCCAGGTCTACTGAACGCTCGCTTCGAACTACACTTTGGAGCCTTCAAAGTACACACTATGTTGAATCAGCCAGCTGGCCTCCTTGGCTAAAACCCTAGAATCTCGTACCATTGATGTATGTTGTGTCTCCGAAACACACATACAAGATCCTAGCATGGTCATACAGCTGAGCTCACCTCGGCAAAACGGAGAGCTGATGAGATGCACCCTTCGTGTATCTGGCGACCCGATGGCCAGTTCTCGTGAACTGGCAAGTGTAGGTATAGTACCAAGTACGAGGGCAGAACAAGTACTATTGGAATGGATCCCCGTTAACATTTGACTATGTGCTGTTCGGCTAGACGGCTCCGTAAAACCTCGGAAGCAGAGGGACGCACGTCGTTGCCCGTTCGTCGTTTCTGCCTACTCTCATACTGACTGCAGCCCAGTGAAGTAAAAGATGAATTTTACTGTAAGCTTTCTGAACTTCAAAAAGCTAGACTCAGATATACTGCTCGTAGCAGGTAACTTTAATGCTCATGTAGGTAGCTTAAACCAAGCAGGAAGACATTTACGTGAGTATTTTAGTATTCCTGGTCACCGAACAGATAATGGTGAACGTCTGCTGCAACTGTGCTCAAACAATCGTTTATCTTTAGCAAGCACTAATGAGAGGCATCGCCTAACATGACGATCCCCTGCACCAGAGTAAAATGGACTCGAATAGACCATATTGCTATCAGTCATCGTTGGAGGGGCTCGATAGGAGACTGCCGATCGTTATGGACTGCATGCTTATACTCTGATCATGTTCTAATACGAGCACGCATTTGCCTGCACCTGACTGGATGCAGAAAAACCACACTAAGAAGATCCATCGGAGTTGAACTAAGTGGTGAGAAAGCCGAAACTAGATCCCAGGAACAACTAGCGTCACACTTAGGTAGTTCTGAGAACCCAGATGTTGTTTGGAAAAATATACAAACAGCAGAGACATTTATTGATCATTTGAATTGAGGGGTTACGAAAAACCAATGGATTTCTTCTAAGTTTTTTGCACTAATGGATTCTCGTAAAGTCATCCCATCAGACTGTGAACACGATGGAGAACGAAAACAAATCAGATCTAGGTCAACCAAAAGTCTAAGGAGCAACCGTGAGCAGTGGTGCGCAACGAAAGCAAATGAATTGAAAAAGGCAATGTCTGTTGGTAACACAAGACAGCTTTTCAGACTAATAAAAGAAAATGTAATTATGTAGTCAAGTGTAAGTAAGACTATCTCGGGAAACGACGACACTTATCTGCCCTCAGTCCAGACGTATAGAATGGTAGGCGGAAAATTTTAAGGAGCAGTTCAGATGGCCTTCAGCTACTCTACAACTACCTTTCATTCCCAAACACCCAAAAATGGAGCATTGAAGTAGGTCCTCCGACTCTATCTGAAGTTTAAAAGGCTATAGATAATCTGAAACGAGGAAGAGCATCTGGTCCAAATGGATTGGCTTCAGAGGTCTTTAAGGAAGGTGATCCAATTTTATAGATTAGGTTGACTAATATTTTAGCTAAGATCTGGTAGTTAGACGTTATCCCATCTAACTGGTCACAATCACTTATCGTCCCAATATATAAGAAAGGGTCAAAATCATCCTGTGACAACCACAGAGGGATTAGTTTAACTAATATAATATCTAAAATACTAGCTTCGATAATTATCGGGCGGCTAACAAAGTCTCGTGAACCGCAAATACGAGAACATCGGTTTGGCCTCAGACCTGGTCGTGGCTGCATCGACCACATATTCACTACTCGTCAGATTTTCGAACACAGGCATGCTTATCGGCGTCTGACAGTAGTGGTCTTTCTTGCCTTAAAAGCAGCATTTGACTCTGTAGACCGAGAGGTTCTGTGGCAGTGTTTATCGCTGAAATTTGGATGTCAGAGGTAAATAAACCTTGTGAAATCTCTACCCGAACACTACTAGTCGGGTCAGGGCTTAATGCGAACTGTCGTTTGCTTTTGCAACGTTAAGTGGTGTCCGTCTAGGCTGTTCACTATCTCTATTTTTGTTCAACTTCATCATAGACCTACTGATGGAAATAACGCTCTCATCGACTGAATTTCCAGGCATTGATCTACCGGGAGGTACACTTATCGGCTTAGAATACACAGATAATATAATCCTGTTTGGTGAAGACGCTGATATAATTCAGAGTCTTTTGGTAGCACTGAGCAACAATGCCAGAATGTTCGGGATGCGCTTCTCCCCCTCTAAATGCAAGTTGTTGCTCCAGGACTGGCCTGCGTCAATACCTGAACTAAGGATAGGGAGTGAAGTAATCGAACGTGTCGACAACTTCGCTTAGCCTGGAAGTCTGATGGGCGGCTGTCTGACGAAACCTCTGCATGGATTCAGAAAGTTCGTTTGGCTTTTACCAACTTCCGTCACCTATGGCGAAGGTGACATATCCGTCTGGCAATTAAGGGACGAGTATACTGCACAGCAGTTCTTTTTGTTGTTTAGGGCTGCGAAACGTGGCCACCAACAGTCGAAGATACTCGTAAGCCACTAGTATTTGATCACAGATGTATTAGAGATATTGCTCGCATCTGCTGGATCACCGGGTAAATAATAGTGAGGTTAGACGTAAGGCATTAGGGAATGATGGTAAATCAGTTGGTGAGGTTGTGAATATTCAGGGACAGAGATAGTAGAGCCGCGTGTTACGTATGCCTGAACATCGATTATCACGACGTGCAATGGTGACTAGTGTTGGAGACGGTTGGAAGGAAGTTATGGGTGGCTAAACCAACGTGTGGCATCAGTCTTTCAAGTCACTAACTGGTGGCATGAGCCGTGTTAGTAGATTCAGACTACTTGGTTGAAGTCCGCGCGACTATCGTAACAAATGTTTGGAGATTCTTGGTGACATGGCTCAGAATCGATCACAATGGCATAGGTGTAAACAATCTTTGTTTTCCCTTAAACCCTGAGATTAAAATCGCTTTATACCTTTCTTTCTACGAACTAGTTCTTTCTCCCTGTGTCATGTCTGTAAATGAAATGATTTTTTACTATCATTGAAGTAACTGCTACGAATGTGGTGTTCGTCTTGTTGTGCTTACGAGGTGTGGCATCTTGGTCCGATGCATATATGTGCCTGGTCTTACGTTGTAACTGGATGACTGACTTAAACTAATGCACATATGTGTCAGGTTCCACGCGGCTTATAATTGACTGATGGAAATATTTGGAATTATACAGTGAAATGTATTATTCAGTTGGTATAAATTTACTTAGAAGCTAACATAGAAATACCCATAAAATGCCCATCAACTTAGTGAAAATCTATCTACCGAATATAATAAAATAAACAATTATTGACTACGTCCATATACTTCAGTGTGGAAGAGCAGAAGTAATAAAATTACTGTTTATTATAGATCATGATAACTTTACTACGATAGAGAGCTATTATTCTTGGTAATTATTATAATGGAGTATAGTTACGTTCATGGTACCTATCTTAGGTTCGAAGTGTAGTTAATGCGAGGAAGAGGTAAGTGGATTTCACGGGTGATGACACTCTTTTATTGACAGAGTATTCGTCTTGTAGGCTATTGTAATGCATGGTAGTTTTGTTTCTAGTAACAAAAAAAAGTTTGTGCATTCATTTGAATTTTAGTTTTCTTCTTGAACCTATTCTGACCATTCTAATCTCGTGGCATAAATACTTATACTTTTATTGCACATGGTGTCGGAGTAATTTTTTGAAAAAAACTGAAGGTGAATGTCAATAAAATTGTTTATGACTATATTCGACAGCTGTGTTACACTATAAAATATAATTCAATAAACTTACTCTCCATCTGTCACTCGTTGGTCAACAGTGGTTACAGCTACTGTAGATGGACTAGCTGCTTTATACTGCAAAACAGAAAAAAAAGTGATTGTTTTCATGACAGATTATAATATAAAAACAAGATATATTTAGAGATCGTCATTTAATCTACGTAAAGTTTCGCAAAATATTTGAAATCAGAATTTAGATATGATTGACACTCAGATTTCGCAGTAGTAACATTTTCCGTGAAACAGTCACTAAGAAAGTTTACTCAGAGATCACCGTTTTCTTAGTCAATTTTTAAATAAATACAGTCATAAGTTTTCGAGATATGATCAGCATTAACCAGAGGAATAATGCGATGAAACATCTGAATCAATCACAGAACACAAGATCTTCACGGATGTGAAATATAAGTTATGGTTAAAAATACAAAGTCTCATGACCGAGTGGGGGATATTACTTGAAATATTAGTTCTTTTATGGATGCTAATTTTTTGTTAATTATGTCGTACTTACTTCTTGGAATTCTGATGAACTAACGTCAGATTAATTTTACAAGTTACGTTCCCACAAAAATGGGCTTAAAAAATTGAACAATTGTATTACATTTAAAATTTATAAGCTAATGAACTTTTCGTCTTAATTATTTAGCCTAGTGAATATTCGTGGACACTAGATTCCATCATCTTAGTGAATTTGATGTTATCAGATATACTGTTGACGTTGTTAAAAGGTTTTTCGAATCCATTTTGTTTTATAATGACAAAAGTGTCATCTACCTACCTAGACCAGGAGATAAGATCTGTTGACTACAAATGACCATTTCTGGACTGTTTGATTGGAAGAAAACGTAATGATCGTTTAAAAATGATAATATTCCGAAAACCAACATATTCTGCGAGACATCTACATCACCCGTCAGCACATTCTCATTCCAGCAAAGTGACACTGACCAAGAATTCGATAAACAAAGTTCAAAAACTCATCACTAAACCAGATGAAAAAGAAATTGAAATGAATTTAGTCGTGTCCACTTTGGTGATAGAGGCAAAATTCGACTCACACTTCCGCGTCGTGCCTCCTGGATAGTGAGACGAATGTCTCATGAACCAACGTGAGCGGTAACCCGGGTGGTGGAGATCGGGCTAATCACCCACTCAACCTATACCCACAACCTGATTACGAAAACTGCAAAGAATCATTGCACAATTATTAGTGGTCCAAAAAAAGACAAAAAAATTCACAAAAACTAAAACTTGGTTTATGGAATGTCCGGGGTTGCTCTCAAGAGGGTAAGCTCCAGCTGATTGCAGAACAAATTATCGAACGTAAGTACCACATAGCAGTGATTACGGAAACTAGGATGGTCTCCAAAACCATCAAAATTGATAAAAAACACCACTTTCCTCAACTCTAATCCTGACATAAATGACTACCGGAACACTGGTGTCGGCTTCATCATTAATAACCAGTCAATGATTACTGCCACCAACTTTAAGGAGATAGATGGTAGAATAGCTACCATTAAAATACATAGCAAAATCACTAACCAGACTATCGACCTCATTGGTTGTTATGCCCCAACTGAGTCTTCTAATGATGATATCAGTAAAGAAAACTTCTATCTTAAACTGGACAGCACAATTAAGAAACTTAAACTAAATAAACTTCCCATAATCATACTAGGTGACTTCAACTGTAGGCTAGGCCTGGACCTTCACGCTTACTACCCTAGTATCATAGGGAAAGCTATCAAGCTTGAACCAGAAACATCAACAAATGGCATGAGACTTATAAACTTATGCGAAACATTAAGTCTGCGAGTAATGAATACCTTCATTATTAAACCAGCTCACACATTAAATAAATTATGCCCCTCAAAAAATATAAACTACTGCATAGCTAAACTAATAGATAAACCTAAGGGCTATCTAAGAAACACAAAACTAAACTTTACAATGCACAGGGGGGTTAGACAGGGTAGTAAAGAAGGTCCAGCCATCTTCAACCTAGTCTTTCAAAGTATTTTAAAACATGCAATAGATAAAACCTTAAAAAGAATCACCCTAAAAGATCAGCATAATAGGAATTGGACAATTAAACACTTAGAATATGCTGATGACTTATGTCTCATCACCAATACCACGGAAGAGGCTACCAAAGCCTTAAACCATTTACAAAAATACTTAACTAACATTGGTATGGAGATATCAATCTCCAAAACCAAAGTCATGATTATAAATAAAAAGGACAACATAGCAGCTGTCAAAATAGACAATAAGGAGATAGAGGAAGTAGAAACCTTCCACTATCTTGGCTCCACCATAAATAATAAAGGAACCCCCGACAGCGTTATAGCTCATAACATAGAAAAGGCTAAATCTGCAGTAATCAAAATTAGACCAATACTTAAATGTAAAGAACTCAGCCTTGGTACTAAAATCAAACTGGTGGATTCTTCAATAATCCCCATTCTCACATATGGACTAGAATCCATAGTACTAAGGAAACAAGACTGGACTAGACTAGAAACGATTCTAAGTACAATACGGCGAATGATCTTAGGCATAAACGATAGAAAACGACTTAATGTACAACAACTTAAACTAAAAGTAAACTTACCCAATTTAGCTAATAAAATCATGCAAAATAGATTAAACTTATGGTATACGGCACATAAAAGACCAAATAACCTAATGGTGAGGTCTTTAAATAGTGAATTCGATAACCCATGCAATAATAGGAAGGCATACTAAAAACTGGCTAAGACAACTACACCAAGAGATTGAAGAAATGGGTGAACGACTACCTGAGGACTGGATATTACAGCACAATAAGGTTAAAACCAACGCATATCAGGAATACTTCCCCAAAATAATAGGTAAACGTCAACTAGACTATAAATGCCAAAATAATGATTGCGATAGAATGTTCGCAACAGTCAAAGATATGAATAGACATTATAGAAATGATCATCAAAATAAACCCAGTAGAGTTTTACCTTAAAAATGTCCCCTAAATGACTGTAATAAAACGTACAAAACTTTGGGCTGGCTTAATAAACACATTCAGTCGTGTCACCCACATCACAAATCACCAGTAAAAGAAACTAAAATCAAAATAACTAAAAATAATTCCATAAATAATGTAAATAGATGTCCATACCCTGGCTGTACTAAAAGTCTCCCAACTAAGAAAGGTATAATCAATCACTGCTATGTAGTACATAGATGGTCAGCAATCACCGGACAGGAAGTAAAACCAAAAACAATCTTAGGGATTGTTATAAATAGAATAATTAAGACAGAAAACCAAAACGATAAGGTGGCAGATAAACTGAAAGAAATAGTTAACACAGCAGCGGTTCTATATAATAAAGGGACTCTAGAAGAATCTTAAATCTTCAATTTTGAGGAGTAGTCTTCCGAACCAACAATACTCTAAGATCCGAACTGGTAAGAACCAAAGATTCAACACAAAAGAAGGAACAATAATATTGTGCATATGAGATTAAATGTATAATTATAATGCTATATATGCAGATGAGACATCACGACAACTGAATGTGAGGGTGAAGGGACACAAACCTTGTTTGAAGCACATTCCTCAGTCCTCAGATGGTATAAAAAAAGTTGAAAACAAGTCAGCGATAGCATTAAACTCAATAGAGTTGCGTCATACAATTGATTTCGATGACTCAAGAATACTGTAAAAAGGTCTGACACCTCAGATCCGCTTACAAATGCATGCAGTTTGTTATATTAACATACTTTTTTTACACACTAAATGTATCAAACGGACTGCACCAAATTCTTACTTTCAACATTGTTACCACAAGTATAAGGTTAACCAGAGAACCATAGCACCTATTCATATTCGTTAATTTTGATGTTTGATTATATTGCCTTGAATAAGGTTGGACCATATTGCCGAGCGACACGTTGGTTTTACTTTAAATTCAATCACTGGTATTTTAGAAATACATTTTTCTTTCATGTCTTACATTTATTCGGTACCTAACTACTATAAAACTATTCATTCAAATGTAGACGAAGGTTCTTAAATGTAAATGCGATTAGTTCCAACTTCAGGTAAAATAATCATTCAATTCTGTCTCATCACCAGTACATTTTTTACTTATGACACTTTAAAGATAGTTTTTGCCACGGACTGGTAAACAATTCATTGGCAAAGGTATACTGAATAACTACTTCATTATAATCTAAGACTTGTTTGTATCCAAATCCCATCCCACACGAGACTCATTGTTTAAAGACTGCTGAATAACATTTTCAATTTGGGATGGAGCATTATGATCATCTTATCTTTTCGTTGATACATATCTCAGTCGATTTTACATAAATCTATTATTATTTACTTTAAAAGTTTTCAATTTTCATTCTGGTAAAACTCACCTTAATGAGTTTACGTTCTTCAGAGCCAAGTCGATAGGCATCGTAGTAAAATTTCATTCCAGCACCAAAGAATAAAAATGAACACGCAATTAGTAAAGGACCAGTTAATTCACCAATATCTAATGACAAGATTATATTCATGTAAACATGCCGTAAACATGTGATAAGTAGACCGATGAATAGTACCAGTAAGAACATTATATAAAATCCAACTGCAATCCAATATAGTTTTTTTGCTCGACCAAACTTAACTGAATTTATTTCTCTTTGGACTTTACGATCATGATGTTCAGCTTGTATTGTTGTTCTACCACTCTTATATGTTGCCAGAGAAGCCTAGAATTATCCAAAAAAAGGAAAATAGGGACTATTATCATATACAACAGTCCCTGAACGAGGTTATATTTTTTTAAAGTCAGAAAGTAGAATGTTTCAAAAAGCCTAGTTAGCAGACAACGTGCAAAAATCATTTGTACTATTATGACAGTCCTTAAATTGAACATAAGCAATCTTTGCCTTTTCTCGATTATGTTATTCAATGTGTCTCTTCAATTTTACCAGTCATCTCCGATTTGATTAGTTTAATAATTTAAATGTAATCGTTTATAATAGACGCTGTATTTTGGAATATTATGAAATCCAAGTTCTACAGATGTTTGACATGCATTTTTATGTGTAGTTTTACACAAGGCAAATCAATGGTTTGTTATATCATAGATGTCCATAGTTTTCAAGTGAAACTAATCCGTAGTAAAGATCGACACAACACTTTATTCAAACGACTTTTCCGTTTTTATATTGTGGAATTGGATTTTTTCAGATATGGAAAACTGATTACTTTATCAGTATGAGGTCGTCTCATTCTCTACATTTATTTTTATCGGACGCGTATGAATACTGAATGTGCAAAACCAAAGCCTTTAGATGTGATTGGCTCAGAAATAATAGTCCAAATCCGTTAGATTTACGATGATATGGAAAAACGACCAGAAGGAATAAAAGAAAACAGCAAATTTGTAAGTGCAATAGAAGTCAGTGATCTCAATTCAAATCTAGAGTTTCAATGAAGAATAACTCGTCTAGTGGAGTTTCTTGGTTAAATTTTTTAACTTGATCTATATCAAATTACTAACACTTAAATTATGGTCACTGTGAGCTATATTAAACCAATAGTGCCCTTACTATAATTCTAGGTTCAAACTGATTATGTGAATGCTTTGCATTTATGCCTTTCTAAGAAATGCTATGAAATTAATATACTAGCTGTATTGTCCAAGGTTCAGTAGTTTTCTTGTTTTCAAAACGTCAGAAACTCAGTCAATTACTACAAAAAATAGCAGAGAGCACTATGAGTAACAATATTAATGATATTTCCCTGCTGCTTAAAAAAACATCACTTTCAAGAGGTTAGAGTTGATGTTCGATGGTTATTACAGTCTTTCAAAAATTATGTCTTCAGAATATGACTGTTCATTGAATGAGAGCATATACTTGTTACCATTTGTTACTAAAGCCTCAAAGGTTTCAGGTGTTTGGAGGTGGTCTATAGAAAATCGTGGAGACTTCGTATTTTATCTATTTTTGACGCCGGATAGTGGCCATCTGGACTCGGTAGGTTGATGAATAGTGCTGTAGGATCTTAAGTGGTAGATACTGTGTTTGAGTCTCGATATTTAAAAAGGACAGTGGTATTTTTCCTCGCTGAGTAAATTTGTTTGTTTTGATCGTTTATTACGTAACAAGACTACTGTTTTCACTTTAAGTGAATTTATTTCAGTTAAAGTATTCGACTAGAGTATCGTTTTTACTGTTCTCTCAATTAGTTTTGTCGTTGGTACTCTTGAGTACCCCTTTTTCAACTGTATCTGTTAGTACTTTTGATCCTAGCCATCTACAGCTCTTCACGTTTTTGGTCATTGATTATTTTTTTGTTTCTGAGTATCATCGCATCTTGAAAAAGAACCCCTTCTTAATGACCGGACAGTGTAAAAAAAGCAGTTGCCAACGTCCGGGTTGTCGTTATCCTGTTGAAAGCGGCATGCAGTGCGACGAGTGCAAAGGCTGGCACCACGAAGTTTGCACGAACTTAACGCCTGATGCTTTCAAACGGTTCAGTAAGAAGGGTTGTGTATGGCTTTGTCAACAGTGCTGCTCGGATCCAAACAACTTGTTAACCGAGGCCATCTCACTGGTTGATGCTGCAAAGAAGTGTTTTAGCAAGCATATTCGGAACGCGTCAAACAGCACTCGATCTGTAGACACGCAAATCAACGTGAAGGAAACTAACGTTAGTTCGATGATAGATGACTCACGCCCGTCAAAGAAGGAAAAGCAGTCTCCAAAGGGGCCTGCCTTAAACAAAAGCTCAAGAAAAGTAGGGTCTTCTGTTCCCCGTCTCCCAGATGGGGTCGAACAGGAAACACCTAGAAGCCGCAATCGCAAGGCTCGATCGGTTTCAAACGGTAAACATAACCCGACCTCTCAGGTCGTCGACAACCCCCCAAAATCCAACACTAGGTTTGACGCAACTGTTATTGCTTCGACCAGCTCAGTTGACGAATGGGTACAGGTTGTAAGGAAGAAAAGTAGGGATATAAACGGGAACCCTGCCCCCGCAAAAGTGGTTGAAAAATCGAAAGCTGATCATAGCGACAGATCAGTTATTTTTCATAGAATCAAGGAGAGCGAGAGCTCTGAACCTAAAGCTCGTTTTCAGCATGACATTGTACTGATTAGGCAGCTGCTTAATCAACTCATGCCTCAAAATATGACCGGGGTCACCTTGCTAACGGTATACAGACTAGGGAGTCTAGCGGACTCGAAACCAAATCATTCCAGACTGCTTAAAGTAGTATTCAGCTCTTCGAACGAACGTGACCTAATTTTACAGAATGGACACAAATTAAAGGGTTCAGGAGTCTTTATCCGGAAGGACCTACTGTTGGCAGACCGTGTTTAAAGACGGGAAGCCGAGAAAGAACTACAACTTAGGTTAGACGCTGGCGAAAAGGACCTGAAAATTGTAAATTTTTGGGTTGTAAGACTTCGACAGAGAATGATGCCGAAGCCACTCTGGGTGAAGCACGAAGGCACTTAAACAGGCTTCGGATCTGTTACACCAATGCACGAAGCTTACTTAATAAGCGATCGGAACTAGGTGTACAGATTGACTCTACAAAGCCAGACATAATCGCAGTCACAGAAACCTGGCTGACACAGGCTATAGATAGTATGGAACTTGATTTCGAGGGTTTTACGTTAGTAAGGGCCTATAGAACACAAAAGCGCAAAGGAGGGGGAGTAGCTCTATTCATTAGGAATGCTATCCCGTTTGCCATTATCGACAGTGTATCCCATGAGAGTGGGACGTGTGAATTAGTTAGTTGCCTCTTGAAATGCAAGGGACAAGAGCTGCTGACTGGTTTGGTCTATCGCAGTCCAAGCTGGGAGGCGAATGAGATCCTGTTAAGCAGTCTCAATATTTGGTCCCAAAGTGGTCGATGTCTAATCCTAGGGGACTTCAATGCACCTATGGTAGACTGGGAAAATCTGCGAACTAAATCGTCAGAAAATTCCTTCGAGCAGGAACTAGTTGATGGGGATATCACATGTGCTCTAGTGCAACATGTGAAAGATGCGACAATGTACGATCCGGACACTGAATCATCCTTATTAGATCTTATACTGACTCGCTATGAGGATGATGTTGCGAAACTCCATCATATGCCACCCCTAGGTAAAAGTGACCACTCAGTTTTAACCTTCGACTTCCATATAACTGCCAGTCACGAGCACGCGTCAGTCCAGTCCAGACCCAACGTCTGGAAAGCAAACATACCAGACATCATGCACTCAGCATCGTTAATAGATTGGACAATAGACCCAGAGTCCTCCATTGAAACGGACTGGGACGCATTTCGAAATTCATACTTAAAAGTCACCACACCTCACATCCCTTGGACTATACGAAAGGGGCCGAAAAACTCACCACCATGGTTCAGTAGGGAGGTTTGTATCCTTGTCCGTAAGAAAAGGAAAATGTGGGATAGATTTCGGTTACTGGGGACTGATGAGTCAAAATCTCAGTATCGAAAGGCTCGGAATACTTGTGCCTCGACCCTCCGTAAGTCTAGAAAACTGTACGAAGGAAAACTTGTTAAGGAATCCATAGAATGTCCTAAACGCCTGTATTCCTATATCAACCAAAGGACAAGGAGAAAAGGAAATATTCCTGCTCTATGGGGAGACAGCACTGCTTCATCATTAGTATAGGAAGACTTTGGTAAGGCTCAAGTGTTCTCGAACTACTTTAGCAACGTTTATACCATAGAAGTGCCTTTCACATCAGCATATACAGATCCCCCATACATACACTGGATAGCGTGACCATTAAAGAACTCGATGTCTTTGGTCTGCTAAATAAGCTTGACATAGGTAAATCCACGGGGCCCGATGAATTACATCCTAGGCTACTGAAGGAATTATCTAACTTCGTTGCAAGCCCTTTAAGTACATGCTTTAACCTATCCGTTATGCAGGGTCGTTTGCCAAAAGACTGGAAAAACGCCATAGTAAGTCCTGTCTTCAAAACAGGTACAAAACACAAATCTGAAAACTACTGCCGCGTTAGCCTAACTAGTGTGGTTGTTAAAATCTTAGAAAAGATTATTCGGAAGGAGCTGTTTAAGTATCTCGATAAAAACCGGATCCTCTCGGAGAAGCAGAACGGCTTCAGAATAGGTTATTCTTGTCTCACTAACTTATTAGTGGCTCGTGAAAGCTTGTGCGCTCTTAAGGACCAAAAGCTACTTGTAGACTTCACCTTCATTGATTTCAGTAAAGCTTTTGACAAAGTTCCGCACAACCGGCTGTTATATAAGTTAAGAAAAGTCGGGATTGGAGGCAATTTATTGATGTGGATAAAGGACTTCTTAATTGGGCGTCAACAAAGAGTTCGGGTGAACTCAAAGTTATCTAGCTGGGGAACTGTGCTTAGTGGAGTGCCCCAGGGTACAGTTTTGGGGCCAGTGCTATTCCTCTTGTGTGTAAATGACATTCCTTGTCTCCTATCATCATCGGTCTTGTTATATGCTGACGATGTCAAGATATGGATAACGATACGATGTAAGAGTGATAGCTTAGAACTTCAAAATGACCTGAAGAAGTTATCTGAATGGTCTCAAACATGGCAGTTGCCGATAAATACTTCCAAGTGTGTTGTGATGGAGATCGGTCATCAAGGCACAGATACATACACGATGAATAACACTGAGCTACCTGTCGTCCAGACATATAATGACTTAAGAGTTATCGTTAGTCAAGACTTAAAGACTACTGCACACTGCCGTGCAATAGCCGCCAAAGGTTTTAGAACCTTATGGTCAATAAGTAGAGCTTTTAGTCATGTCGACGCTAAAACGTTTTTGACTTTGTATACAGTGTTCGTTCGTCCTAAACTTGAGTACTGCATACAAGCGGCTAGCCCCTGCTTAAAAAAAGACAGTGAGCTTCTGGAAAAGGTTCAGAGAACGGCGACTAAGCTGATTCCCAGAATAGCCAAGCTTTCGTATGAAGTTCGACTGGCCTAGCTGAACGTTTTCCCGTTGTCATATCGCAGAACTAGAGGCGAATTGATTACAGTCTACAAATTGCTTAGTGATAAATTTGCACCTAATATGCCCTCATTTTTCTTGCCTTCCAAAACAGAGAATTTACGAGGACACTCCAAAAAAAGTTCATTAGCCGAGAACAAATTACTTGTCAGCTGACTGTCGACTTTCCCATCGAATCATCAACGAGTGGAATTCACTACCTCAGCACGTGGTTGAGGCTCCATCCGTCGACTCTTTCAAAAGAAAGTTGGATCAACTGAGAGACCACCATTGCCAGGACTAACATAGGCCATCGAGCCTCCTGTCCTTCTCAAACTGAAACTGAAACTGAAATTGATATGGGTATGACCGTTAGAATCCAGATATATCCAGGTAACAGCACGAAACATACAGTCTAGACTCCACTACTAGCCATCACACAAAACTACTAACCCTTGGTATATGTTCTTCTTGACGTAGGGATGACAAGAAACATGATACCAAATGGTCCGTGTTTGATTAAAAAGGACTGATAAGTTACTTGTTAGAATGAAACTTTCTATTTATAAACATATTTATAGTGAAATCAAAGGCTATAACTTTAATGTTTATCAAGAAATTCACAGTCTTAAGCAACACAAGTCCTATTCAGAAGTTCAGGAAAAAGAATAATGATAAAAGAATTAGGTAATTTTAAGAGATTAACAAATGCTAAAGTGTATTTCTAATAATAGGAACTTTATTATAAATATTAAAAAATAGAACATAAATAAAGATTCGATAAAAGCTTATATTAAAATTCACAGAACGTTTTATGGCAGGAACTCTGATGTCAAAAGTCTCAATAATGGTTATCAGTCCTCTTTTACGAATGCAAGTGATAATACAGGCATGCTCAAACCAAATTATCTGAAGCAGTTTTTAGATTTGATTAAAAAGTGATTACTTTAGCCACTAAGTCGCTGTTTCTAATGTAGAACATCTCTTGCGGAAACCCTGCATGCTATTTTCACCAAGCGTCTGATTAAGATGGTTGGACTGTATAATTATTTCTGTGATATATATATATATATATATATATATATATATATATATATATATATGTATATATATATATATTAAAATTGAAGTATCAGATGAAGTCCTTTTATATTTTGAAACAAGGAAACCTTTCCTGTTTTACCCTTAGAAAAAGTCATGACATTCTTAATTACCAGTGCTTATGTATAACCTTTCCTGTCTCTAACAAATTATTATTACAGTTACATTTGTTTAAGTTTAATTAATCTCATTTTGCGGAGCGTTTAGAAAATATGATAATTTTTTAACTGCTTGATAGCTTACTTTGGAAGCTTTTAAGCTTCTCGACATTCTAAAATGACTAGGAGCGTAGAGCGAACGAGTACCTTGAGTTGACTTTGCTAATAATACCGATGGCTGATAACCTGAAATGCTACCAGTTCTACTATTGTTATTAGTCAAAACAGTCGATCCATTTTCGACAGTTTGCATGTTTGATGACATATAAACGCATGGATCCATTTGCCTTGTACTCTTTATTATATTTTGGTAAACGTTTCCAACTGAACCAATTTGTGATCTGGATTTAGATGATATATAAGATCCTGAAACAACAGATCCTGTAGGTTCTTGATTCATGGACTGATTTACAGGACGGATTGAAGTAGTTGTTGGAACACGTATAGGATCACTGGAACGTAATGAGGAAGAGCTACCGGTTCTACCCAAACTATTCAGCCTTTGTTGTTCATATTGCATGCGCGTTAAGTGACTCGTCATTATGATCAGGCGTCAACTTGATTATACTTTATGAAACTAAAATTTTAATAGTAAAAGAATAAAATAAGAGATGAAAACCTACTAGTTCTAAAAGAATTACGTTTCTTGTGTGAAAGTCTTAGTATCTACCCGAAAACTATGTATAAACAATATTTAGCCTTAAGAGCTTATAGATGAGTAGGATACCTAAAGACTGAACAATGTAACTGTTCTTTTTAAAAAGATTGTTTGAACATCAACCTCCAAATCAAACTGAACACAAGTAGCAATTATGAATAATCAGACCATACCAATTTTTATTCCATCTTAAAAAAAGAAATGCTATCTATGAAAATGGCGTTGTATAAGTAAGTGCCGTCAACATGTATGAGAACGCACGAAGTTATACTGGTTTTAAACTGTTCCTTGTTCAAATTCACCAGCAAAAAGACACATCATTCAGTGACAAATCTGAAAATAGATGTTGATTGACCAGATGGATAGTTTATGAATCTCAAAATTGTGGTACATCTGAAGCGGCCGGAAGAAAAGGAAAAATTACACTAAAGTTTAACTATTAGGAACAATCAAAGTTTGAATGAATAGTTCAAGCATGAAGGTAGAAGTTAAACTTATTGAAAATAATGTATAATAGGATTATATTTTGCTGGCTGGACAACTCCACTTCAAAATCTGAAGCATTTAGGGGACAAATAACGTTAGAGAAGAATAGAAAAGTGAAAATAATTTACAGGTTAAAATGACGTAAGATAATTGTCCAGATATAAAGAAAAACATAAAGGTCATGATAATAACTGAATATTATTCATTATAACATCCTGAGAAAAGCAGAAATAGTTCCAAAAAACTTTTTATGAATATCAAATTTGAAGGACATACAGCTGCTGAAACTTTGAATAAACGGATTTCAAAATCCATGAGTAAAACTTATTCAGCTAGTGTTCTGAAATGCATTTAGAAAGTGACAGCTTTGTAAGGCTAATGTGATTTCCCCCATAGGAGCAAGTAAATTCGTAGATGCACATGTATGTGGCCCAAAGCGAGAGTTTATGCTTAGCAAATCCGTGAATGGTAGGTAGGCTTGAGAAGATAATACTGAGATTAGCTCCATAGAAGATTTTACTCATGGATTTTGAAATCCGTTTATTCAAAGGTTCGGCAGCCATATCTCCTTTAAATTTGACATTCACAAGAAGTTTTTCGGAATTGTTTTTGCTTTTCTCAGGATGTTGTTATGATTATTATTCAGGTAATATTATGACCTTTATGTTTTTCTTTTTTCTCCATATCTTTCAGGGGGACAATTATTTTCGTTCTTCTATTCTTCTCTCACCCCCTCAGTCAGTCAGTCAGTTACAACGTAGAACCAGGCACATATATGCATCGGTCTAAGTTGGCATACCTCATTAACACAACAAGATGGACACCGGATTCTCTCACCCCCCTGATTATTAAGCAACTTTATTTGACATATAACTTTATTCTACAAGAGAAATCGACGAATTTTCAAGTGGACACCAGTGAACTCTTAGTTTATGGACATGAAAATGTAATCAACCTACGAAACAGCCATCACTATTTTTTTACCACAGGTAGCTTGTATTGAAGACAAACAACTAAAAATTCATAACAACTAGCAATTAACTTTAAAACCCTGTTTCATATATCATGAGCAATACTTAAAGTAAGCATTATATTCTCTTTGGTATTTCCCACATACACCTTTATTTTACGGGATTCTAAGTTCCAGAGTATTAGTGAAAAATCCAAATTGGAAATCCAATTACGATGAATCCGCAAAACGATGACAAAAAAATGAGTATAAGAATAATTTACGAAAAATATTTTTCCTAGGTTTAACTAAACAGTACAGAGACAAATCTTTAAGCCGTTGGAAATGTTCTTAGGCTTTTTACCGAATCGGATTTTCGCAATAAACTTCATAGGTTGTTTTTAGTTTACTGTGGTTAATATGGTGAAGATTGCGTTTTGTTGTGTATAGTTTTACTGTGACAACATCGACTAAAGTTTTGGGGGACAAAATACTTAAGCATCATCTACAGGAATCTGAAGACATTGTCGTTATATTCATAATATCCTAAAAGTCATAAGTTTTAGTAATTATTGTAAAGAAGACAGTTAGGTTGACCTAGTCCATTCACAAAACAATCCATCATTTGCTTGTTAAAAATTTACACGGCTTTTTTATTTTTACACATATACTCTTCTGTTACTATTGTCTGTACTATATAATCTAATATTATAATGTTTCTGTTATGTTATCATTCTTGTTTTTTTGTGTTTAAACTATTATTTGGGACTTTATACATACAAACGATTGTACAGCTTCGTTATCAACTTCTTAAAAAGAGATCCATTTGCTGAATTTCGTTCTTTTAATATTCAAAAATAATGCGTCAACTTAAAAACATTTAATCTGACCACAAATCGCTAGCATCACTACAAACAAGCAAATCTGTAGAAGTAGCGTTATTAAAATGTTGTAACGTAACTGTATAATACTCTGCAAAGGGTTGCTTAACTTTGAGTCAGGTCTCACAAGCGAATACCATTATCTAAATCTTGCTAGGTTGACTGTAAAATTTTAGAATAATAGCCATGATAAAATAATCTCAGAGCCTCTTGATGAGAACTGTCTGCTTTTCAGCTGCTATCAAATAGCAAGACCACTTTTAGCCGATAAACTATGGAGACTGATAAGGTTTGATTATTTAAATGCTGAATCAACGAGCCAAACGTCATATTTAAAACAATCCGGCTAAAGAAACAAAGCAAACAATTAGTGGGAGATCAAAAATCTTGCATACCTTTCATTTTTCGACTTATCAAACATCTGTGTTAACAACTGTTTTAGGAGAACTAGGTACAGTTTGTCTTTTGGAACTGATACTTTAGCTTACAACTAAAAAGCTTCATTGACCGGACGAATGAACGTGAAAATTTTTTTGCTCAATGGATTCACAGCTTATGGTACTAGTTAGTTACAAAACCCATGCATACCAAATATTTGCACACTTTCTTTACTTACTATATTTAGTAACTCTTAAAGAGCCTGTTGGGATATTCAGAAAAATATCCCAAAAATTACCCTGTTAAGTCTAATGCTATCCTTGGACTTGAAATGGTATCATTTTTCTATCGTTCAATATTTGTTTCACGTATCATTTTCCTGTTGGCCAGATATTGTGCAACTTTTTTTTCTATTTTATGGTACAATGTGGTCTGCATGATTGGTGTATAAACAGAGTATGTTTGAAATACATGATTCATATCGCAGAGGCTGAGACTTGTGTTCTGGACTTAACTGGCTGGGCTAGGCAGGAAGCAGGGCCAATCAGGACTCTAGGCTGCTCGCAGGCGTTTTATGCGTCACTGATCCGATCGATAATCCACTGCTCTCTAATCGGCAGTCACAAGTTATTAAAAAGCTTCTGATAAAGTATGATTATTTGAGGCTGAACTGTTTGCATTTTCTAGTATAGGGAATTTCGCTAATGAATGAGCATCGTATCAAACCAAAATTCAAAAGAAAATTTCATTATGGCCTCAGTATAGCGTTATTGGTGTTTTTCTCCTGCTTCATGAGTCAAACAAAACTAATTTTGTATGAGTAACAGAAATGCTGCTGTCCCAATATTTCTCCGATGATTTTTATTTACTTCTGTGTCAGCATTACACCTTAGAGTTTTTAAAAGTCCTAGTTATTGTGGCATATTGTACCATGTTACACTACACTACTGCTACTTCAAACCTACGTAAAAATAACAAGAGTAAGCTTTAGCTGACATAAGAAAAAAACAGTTTCGAACTGTACAAAATAATATATTAAATATGGGAACGTTTGAAATTTATGTCGGAAAAATGGACGAGATTATGAGGAAGCACTATTTATTTATAAAGATGGGAATATTAATGCTTCGCCATTTTACTGGTAATGTATTAAATTCGGTGTGTCCTGGGGCACCACGAGATATATTTAAATCTGATCTTCACTCAATTCTTCAGGACCTTCGATGAAGTCTCATATATAGAATTGTTGTATAAATTAGCGACATCGCAATCACATACAACTCGCACTCGTAAACAAATGACTTAGTAGTCGAAAGTTGACAGAAAGTACGAGCCAACTACAAGCTACATTAGTAATAAACAGTGCTTAGAAAAAATCTTTGTAGTATAGCGTGGAGTACGTGTCAATTAAACCCTCCCTAAGCATGATGACGAGTATCTGCCGGAAATAATTACGTGTTTAATAATCTAAAATCACCTTAGGTAGACACAATGATCGAGTAGTTACTGCTGGTCAAGGTCTGAAAACCACTGGACACTTTCGGTAATGTGTTAATTCCTGGACCTATCGAATAAATAAAAACACTTGCTTACCATAAATATATGTATTTAATGGCATTTATACTTTTAGTTCTGAATAGTGAATCCAGTTGATGATACTTTTGAGAGAAAAAGAGAAAGTAATCTTGTTGCAAACTTCAAATTATTTACTTTTTTGTACTTTATGTCCCACATTCTTCTCTAGGAACGGAAACGATTTGAGGAATCACAAAACCGTCGACCGTTCAAATACTTACTACTTGTCACATCCAGGTGTTGATGGTCGTAACTCTGCCTTAACATGCGACTATAACTCTTTTAACGGATATGTACTAATAACAGTTGAAATAACAAAGTCACCCTCATTATCAGGACTATCATATACTATTTGGTCTCATATCTTACTCAAAATAGATAATGCAGTTGACAATACGGCGAGCAAAACGTAAACCTGAAATAGAATGTGATAAAAATGGTTGATGAAAACTGTCTAGAATGGTGTTTTATAGGTTTCCCCATTTTTATAAGCCCATAAAGAATTCACATGAAACTTCAAAAATCTGATTTAATGCAGTCTTCGTCATTCAAGTTGTAACGCATAAATCGCTATACAGGTGTCAAAAAACAGAATAAATTCAAAGTAATATGAT